AGCTTCATCTTTCCTCCAATGGGTTAAACTGCCAGCCTCGGGGCTAGCAGCCCAATGCCTTACCCATATTGACACCAGAACTTCTTCCTCACCCCCTCACCCCACCCAAAGCCCTGTGTACCTCTCTATCTTCCACTCATACCCACTCGCTCCCCTTGCCACTGTGCCTCCTGCCACGCCAATCACACTGGTCTCTGTGCAACCTCGAGCAGGCAGTTCCAGCCCCAGGGCCTTTGTACCTGCCGATCCGCTCACATCTCTTCACTCAGCTCTCCCAGTGCCTGGCTCCTCTTTCAGCTCCAAGTTTCACCTACTCTCCTCGGAAAGGCCTTTCTCCCTCTACGAAGATGGAGCCAAAGGCAAAGTGGGAAGCCCCTGCTCCCCCCAAAACGGAAGCCAAAGCGAAGGCCAAGAAGGCCGTGCGGAAAGGCGTCCACCGCCACACACAAAAGAAGATCCGATCATCACCCTCCTTCCAGGGACCCAACACCCCCAGACTAAGCAGGCAGCCCAGAGACCCTTGGATGAGCCCCGCCAGGAGACACGAGCCGGCCCACTCCGCCACCGTCACGTTCCCCGTCCACGAAGGCCGCCGTGAGGAAGATGGAAAATAAGGGCACACTGGTGCTCCTGGTGGATGTCAAGGCCAACAAGCACCGGATCAAACCGTCTGTGAGGAGGCTCTGTGGCACTGACGTAGGGTCAACACCTTGACCTGGATCAGGCCTTGCGGGCGAGAAGGTGTGGGTTTCATGGGCCCCTGACTGTGATGCTTTCCACGTTGCCAACAGCAACATCTGATTCTAAACCGAGTCCAGCTGGCTAGTGCTAAAGATAAACTTTTGCGATACATAAAAGAAAAAAAGAAGTCTTTCCTAACGGCCCCACCTCTCCTAGCCCCCTGAGTGTTCCTGATCCCATCTCCCCGTTGATTGGGCTAAGCTGAAGCAGGCCGGGCCCCCGCTTCCCTGAACGTCCCCGGAGGTCAGCAGCTGCCCCCTGGAATGAAGAGACTGAGAAACAATTCCCAGAATGCCTGACTCCTTGATAAGCGGACAGCCTACCTGCCAGAGCTGATAAACTACATCCTGGGCCATAAACCTTGCTGTTTCCGCACGACCCCTTCTCCCCACTGTCCCTTAAAAACCCCAGTCCCTGTCTGGGGTCTTAAAGGCTTGAAGGTAAACAAGCAGCCATCTAGCTTAGAAGCAACAAAGCCCACATGGAAGAAGCACACCAGCCTGTGTGATTACCAGGTGTCAACAGGATCAGGTATCAGGCATCAAAGAACAAAACATCATATTATTGTGAATGACGGGGAGTGCAGAGTGGGGACCCAAAGCCTATCTGTAGGCAACTGGATATCCCCTTACAGAAGGGTCGTGGGGAGGAAACAAGCCAGTCAGGGTGCAGTGTAGCAATGATGAAACATACAACTTTCCTCTAGTTCCTTAATGACACCCCCCCCCCACTATCATGATCCCAATTCTACCTTACAAATCTGGCTAGACCAGAGGATGTACACTGGTACAGATAGGAACTGGGAACACAGGGAATCCAGGACAGATGATCCCTTCAGGACCAGTGGTGAGAGTGGCAATACCGGGAGGGTGGAGGGAGAGTGGGGTAGAAAGGGGGAACCGATTACAGGGATCTACATATAAGCCCCCTCCCTGGGGGACTGACAAGAGAAGAGTGGGTGAAGGGAGACATGAGACAGCGTAAGATATGACAAGATAATAATTTATAAATTATCAAGAGTCCATGAGGGAAGGAGTGGGGAGGGAGGGGGAAACAAAACGAGGAGCTGATACCAAGGGCTCAAGTAGAAAGCAAATGTTTTGAGAATGATGATGGCAACAAATGTACAAATGTGCTTGACACAATGGATGGATGGATGGTTGGATTGTGATAAGAGTTATACGAGCCCTCAATAAAATGATTTTTAAAAATAAATAAAAACCCCAGACCCTGGGCAAAGTCCACGATTCCCCTGGGCTACTTGCTAGACCATGAAGCTTTGCCCGGGAGCTCCCCGCTAATAAAGCTATTTCTGTTTCTGCTCTCCCTTTGTCCTTTCAGTTGTCTTTGTCCGGCTCCCTGTGCCTCAGTTTACCTCTCACCCATCACCAGCTTTTATCTGGTTCCCTCACCGCCTTAGCTCCCCGACTGTAATCCACAGAACGGCGTCCCCCTTTCCCTTCCCCCCAAACATGGCTGTAAATCCTAACACCTGCATCGGCTACCAAGAAGAAGCCCTGGGGCCCTGGCGGTGAAGAGCTCAGCTGCTAACCACAGGGTTGCCGGTTCAAATCCACCAGAGGAAGAGGAGGCCGCCCGCTCCCACAAACCTGGCAGCGTTGGAAACCCAATGGGGCAGCGCACCTCTGTCCTGCTGGGTCCCCTGCGAGCTGGAATCCACTGGGTGGCGGTGGGGTTTTTGTTGCTTTGCTTTTGTCTATACCTGTGGCTGTCACTCCCTTTGGGAACAGGGCTTCCTTCTGGTGTTACTAAGGCGGCACCAGCGTAGAGTCTTACACCAATTGTGTTTACGATACAAAAGAAGTGATTAGGCCCAGACACAAGGATGCACAGATAGGGAAGGAAGAACGGAGGAACAGAAGCCGGGTGGAGACAAAGACCTTATCCCAGAACGGACAGAGAGAAAGCCTTCCCCCCACAGCCAGAGCCCTGGGGTCGCGCCTCTAGCCCCCTCAGAGATGAGCAAACAAACTGCTCTGCATGGAATTCCCTTGAAAACAAACACCCTTTCGCGAGCAGCCAAGCTCTTAACCTTGGCCCTGCTTGTTGAGCCCCAGATGGAAAACCCAAAACTCACTGCCATCGCCTAGTGACCCTATAGGACAGGGCGGATCTGCCCCTGTGGGTTTCCAAGACTGGGACACTTTACGGGTGCAGAAAGCCCCATTTTTCTTTCTCCCGCCGGGGCGGCTGGTGATTTGGATTGGAGCCCGCTGCCGAGC